CACATGTGTGGCGATCGAAGCATGTTCATAGGGATCAATGAAGCAGCAACTGGCAATGTCTCATTTGGAGATGACTCAAAGATACCGGTCAAAGATAAAAGGAAGATTCTCATACACTTGAAGAATGAGAGTCATCAATTCATATCCAATGTTTGTTATGTTCCTAACATGAAGAATAATATTTTAAGCTTGCGACAATTATTAGAGAAAGACTATGACATCCACTTGAAAAAACATAGTATTTTCTTAAGAGATTGTCGACATAACTTGATTACTAAGGTGCCTATGTCAAAGAACAGAATATTCCTCTTTAACATTCAAAAATGATGTGGCAAAGTGTCTCAAGGCTTGTTATACCGACTCTTCGTGGCTATGGCATCTACGATTTGGACACCTTAACTTCAGCAGTCTAGAATGTTTGTCAAAGAAGGAGATGGTGGAAGACTTGCCTAGTATAAACCACCCAGACCAACTATGTGAAGGATATTTAATTTGGAAGCAATTCCGGAAAAAAAATTCAAAGGAATCAACGTCAAGAGCGACAAAATCACTATAGCTCATATACACCAATGTCTGTGGACCAATCAATCCAAACTCTTTTGGTAAGAATAAATACTTTCTCCTCTTTATTGACGATTATTCTAGAAAAACGTGGGTTTGTTTCTTGAAGGAGAAGTCAGAAGTGTTTGAAAATTTTAAGAAGTTCAAAGCCCTTGTGGAGAAAGAAAATGGTCTTTCAATTAAGGCCATGAGATCTGACCGAGGAGGAGAGTTTACTTCAAATGAGTTCAACAAATATTGTGAAGACCATGGAATTTGCCGCCCTGTAATAATACCAAGATCGCCACAACAAAATGGAGTAGTGGAGAGAAAGAACCGGACCATACTTAATATGGTGCGAAGCATGCTTAAGAGTAAGAAGATGCCGAAAGAGTTTTGGGCCGAAGCAGTAGCATGTGCAGTTTACTTGACAAATTGTTCCTCAACAAGAAGTATGCATGACAAGACACCACAAGAAGCATGGAGTGGAAGGAAGACAAAGATCTATCACCTCAAAGTGTTTGGAAGCATTGCATATACCCATGTTCTAGATGAAAGGAGAACAAAGCTCGATGATAAAAGTGAGAAGTACGTATTCGTGGATTACGACTCAAGCTCCAAAGGGTACAAGCTTTATAATCCAAATAGTGGAAATATTGTCATAACTCGTGACGTGGAGTTCGAAGAAGAAGATTGTTGGGATTGAAGTGTTCAAGAAGACATGTACGATTTTCTTCCTTATTACATCACTTGCCTCACCGACACCAAGGTTGGATGAAACAAGCTCAAGCGAGAGAACACCACGACTAAGAAGTATTAAAGAGCTTTATGAAGTAACCGAAAACCAAAATGACATTAACCTCTTTTGTCTTTTCTGTGATTGCAAGCCTCTAAACTATCAAGAAGCGGTTGAAAACATGAAGTGGAGAGACGCCATGGACGAAGAAATCAAGTCAATCACGAAGAATGATACGTGAAAACTTACTACACTTCCGCGAGGACACAAAGAAATCAGAATAAGATGGGTGTACAAGGTGAAGTTGAAGTGTGTGATCCCTCGGGATCAAGTTGCCGACATTTTCACCAAGCCACTAAAGTTGGAAATTTTTGTGAAGGTAAGGAGTATGCTTGGAGTCACAAATCAAATTTAAGGGGAAATTTCGAAATATTAAACTTGATTTGGGTCTAACCTTATTATTTGTGTTTTGGATTTTTGGGCTTAGTTATTTTGAGTTTAGGTAACTTTGGATAATGTTTTTAGAAAACTCTTGTAGTGTTTGAACTGTCTAGATATTTTTTAGTATTGTAATATTTTCTAGAATGCTCATGGAATTCCTAGAGTTGAGAACTCTAGAATTTGTGTGTCTAGAGTTCTCCTTAGAGTACTATAAATAGAGATATAATTTTACACTTTTGTATAAAGAAAAAATACAAAGTTCTCTTTTTCATAAATAATTCTCCTATCTATCAAATTTCTATTCAAGCCTCTAATATTTCCGTACACTTTCACTAAACACAAAAGATTTTAAATTTAAATACTGTTTTCTCGAAGCTCATTAGTCCATTAGAAATAATAGGATAGTTTCTTAAAGAAAAAAGAAAGTTGTTCACATCTCAGCATATATGTCTGTGAACGGATATTCATCTTTTAACATGAAGCATATTATAATCCAAATTCAGAGATGGCTGATGCATACAAAGGTATGGATTCAGCTGTTGTTGGATTGGTTAGTTATGCTCCCAGTTGTTCCTTCAACCATCTATTTGGAAATTGGAATTTATGGAAGATAATTCTTTATTGTGTTTTTTGTTTCATCATCTGCTTTCTGATTTTATTAGCAATGATATGGAACCACTTGAAAAGTCTCAGGTTCAAAGTTCAATTTGCATTTTTGGTTTTAGCCATCACCTCAGTGTATTCCTTTTACTCTGATAAAATGATGAATGGGAAGCCAGATGCATATAGTCTCATTTCAAGTGCTGTCTTTGCTATCATGTCACTCAGTTTGCCGTGGCAAACTCATGCGGATTCGAAGTGGATCTTCTTTACTTTTTTTCTTGGATGTTTAATTGTGCAACTCATGAAGATTAAATTACAGTTATTCATTGTTGGAGCTGGCTTCAGCTTTTCCCTTATTATTATTCGTTCTTCCTTTCCTTCTGTTTCCATAGATTCATAATAAGCCTTTTGAGACCTCTGCTGTTTTTTATTATGATGTAATAAAACATTTATTATCTAATCTTATTTTATACAGTAATGAGTAGGTTTTATGATAATAATGTCAGAGAGAATATTTTAGTTGAGAGATTTAATCCAAAAAATATATTTACCAATTGATACTAAATTTGGAGGTTAAGTGGTTCTCTAGTTGATAAAAACATTTCTTTATCTAAAAAGTATTTTTAAATAACACTTATTTGATTCTGGAGCATAAGTTCAAACAATCAAAAATTAACTATAAATAAAAAAATATTTAAAATAGTGTAACTAATTAACTATCCACGAAATTTAAAAAAGAGGAATGCTATTTATGTCAGCCAGTACATACACGTAGTTTTAAGTTTTACTTTGCAGTTTTACTTTGCATTGCCACAATTTTCAATTTTTATAAATATAATAAGAGTAATGTTATTTTGTGTCTTTGGGACACATGTTAAAAAATCCACAAATAAAAAATATGAATAGAAAAAAACAATAAAATCATTAATTATAAGACTATTAAATTTATTACATAATTTACAAGAATTATTTCTTATATTTATCTCTTAACTTGTTTATTTTTATTACCCATATAATAAACAAAAGATAAAAAAGTACTCTCTTACGGTATAAAAAAAAGATAAAAAGGTACTCTTACGCCGGTGTAGATGTCAAACCAGTGTAAATGTATTATTTTTCTAAGGGTCTGTTTGGTTCAAATGAGTGGGAGGGGAGGGGAGGGATTTTAATGAAGGAGAGGGGAGGGGAGGTGAAGGAATTTTTTAATCAAATAAGTGTTTGGTTCAAAAGAGTGGAGGGAAGAGATTTTAATTAAAAATGTGTTTGGTTCAGAAGGGGAGGGGAGGGGTTTTATTAATAATTTACATTTTTATCCTTATGATTTTATATAAGTCATATGATATTAAAATGTGAAAAATTCGTGCGTATTTTTGTTGGTAATAAAATTTCTAATATTGAGCGATTAAAAAAATATTTATTTGTCACATAAAGTTAAAAAATTGAGTATAATTGATTCGACTTATAACTTTCCAACATAAATTAAACTATATGCCAATAACATCGTTTAAATTATGATGAATCATATAACAAAACAAATATATAAAATAACTTATTACTAAATATTAATGGTTCAAAATATTTAATAAAATGAATAAACAAAAATAAATAAAATGATATGGTTTACAATTTGATATAAAAGAAAATATGATAGAGTACATAACAAAATTAAAAGAAAAAAAACGAATATAACAAAACATAATTTTTTTTATAAAAAAAAGACAATGATTATGATTTATATTAATTATAAAAATTATAAAATAATTTGAAGGTGAAGAACAATTATAATAAGTTGATGAAAACAATCGAGAAAAAACAGTAACACAAAAGATAACAAATAGTTTTGAAATAATAAAATTAAACTGAGGATATTTTAGTAAATATAATAATTTTTAAATATCAAAATTCATATTCCCTCCCCTCCCCTTCCCTCCAAATCCCCCCAATTCGGAGAGAACCAAAAAGTGTGTTTTGGAGGGATTTTGCTCCCCTCCCCTCCCCTCCTAAAATTTGAACCAAACATATTTAATTAAAAATTTCCCCTCCCCTCCATCTACCCCGAACGAAACACACCCTAAAAATTGTGGCTAATCTCTCTTTTGATTTTTCTCTCAAAAGACTCTCACTCTTATGTTATTTGTTCTTAAGGTGTTGTTTTGGATGTGATGATTTAAAATGAAGCATAAAAATGACTTTTATACTATGAAAATTGGTTAATATGACTATAAATTAGAGATTTTCTCCCTTTCGTACTTGTTTCCTTTAATTTATTTACTAAATTTATTTTCCAATCCTTCATTTCCTCTCCTCTGTATCATAGATATTTTGAGTTGCTTATTGAACACCTCGTGTTTGGAGATGAACCAAGCATATTCAGAACATTAAAACCGACTCAAAAAAGAAAGAAAAAAAAAGAAACACAAATGATAATGTATACAAAATCCTGTTTGTTGATTTAGGAAACTTTTTACACTATTCTAAGCGCTGACGATTGCAACTAAGGTGGTTTTCAAGTCTCTCTCAACAATTGCAAAAACATTTTCAGTCCTCCATAATGATTCTGAGTAGAACATATAGTAATATGTATACTGCAAGTATACAAGATCATACATCTTTTAGAACTACACTCAAAACTTTGTATTACAACTACACAATAAATACATACACAATAAAACATACACCTTTAGCTTCGATTTCTGCTACCAGTTGATCCACTGCTTCCTTGAAACAAATCGTTGAGTTTCACTTCAATATCTTCCGTTTCATATTTAACATATTTATCAGTGTTCTTACCAACTTCAGCAAGACTCTGAAACCTCCCAATGAATTTTCTATAAGCTGGTAACAACAGTTTCTCAATGGAATTTCTTATTTCTTCCTTAAGCTGTTTATCAAAGATAAACCATGAAGATTGAACCCTGCATAAATCATCAAACGCCGTGTTGAACGATTTCAGCTTCTCTTTCATAGACTTTGCTATGGCATTAGGTGGCATTGAACCACTGTTCTCCATCTTTAGAAACCCAGACACCTTGTTCCATGAGCTTCTCTGATACTGCATAAGGTACTGCCGAATTTTCGCAGTGTGTTTTTTTATCCAATCATCTCCTAAAAGTACTCCTAACTCACTATCTTCAGCCTTTTGAACAATGTACTTGCAGTTATTTATCAAGAAAACATAGCACAATGCAGGGTCCTTGTAGATTCTGGATTTCGCTTCCAAATTGCTTTCTAATAGCTCCATAATCCAATCCATTTGAACTGACAAAGAGGAAGATGAATGCATTCTATCATCAATCTTGGGAAATTCCTTTAAAGGATGTCCATAGTCTTCAAACACTTGCTCTAATGTCTGCTGTGACCGACACGCAGCACGGAGGTAGTTCATCACGTATCGGGTAATCGGGTGAAGTCCACCACCAGGAACTGCCGCCTTAGCTGGATCTCGGCGAATTAGATTCTCCAACTCCATGAAAATGCCTCTAATTGCTTCCCCTAATCTCTTCCATATCGTCAATGCTTCATTCCTTAAAGATACACTATACTGATCACAAAATAAAACCTCAAATTCTGGAATTAGGTCACGCAATGTTTCAAACACGTCGAGGATTCTGAATAACCGATCAGGTGAACGGCTTCCGATGGCAACAGCATCAGCAAAATTCAACAGCTGAACGGTGGATCCTCTGCAAACCTCCATGAAGGAGAAATCGGCGGCCGAGGAGTATCCGAAGAAGACCCGATCACAGAGTCGTCGCTCGCTGGGGAAAAGTATCTTGAGTGCGACATTGGAAGCTTTAATCCATCTTTCAATCTCGTCTTCAATATCCTGCCATGACATCTTCTGAACATCCTCAATACTAAGCTTCTGTAACCCTAATCTCGAAAGGCTTTCCTCCAAGAACTCCCTTCGGCAACTACTGTAAACATGCGAACACTCCTTTCCAAAACTACCAGCAACCATTCGCTTTGCGATCTCGTGAAGGTCGTTAATCGTAGCCGACGGCAAAGCATCAATCACGATGTCGTAATCAGTTACCGGCATCGCAACAGGAATCAGATCATCTTCTTCTCCATCGTTCCTAACTTCTTCATCTTCTTCTGAGTCAAAAGGTAAATTCTCAGTTGAACCGTTGTACGGTTGAGTTAGATCAAAGGACTCACCACCGCGTTCCATGAGAGATCGAAACTCGTCCTCAAGACGGAACATAGCGTGCTGGAGCATATCCTCGGCGCGTGCAAGACACGTTGCGATGGATTTATCACCGGTGAGGTGGTTCCACTCTGCGACGGAGGCGATTAGGTCGTCAACGGCTTCGAGAAAAGCCTCGGCGTCAGCGGAATCCGCCCAGATAGGGTGATCGGAGGAGACGTAGTGAGAGATCCGACGGTCGAGGGCTTTAAGGCAGTGATCCAGTGCGACGCAGGTTCTGGGATCTGTATCTGCAACCGCGACTTTCTCGGAGAGATTTTCCTTCGAGAATCTTCCATCGAAGTTCGAGAATATTTGGAGAATGTCATCAGCCATAACATTGTTGTTGTGGCCTAGCGTTTTTGCTATGTGACGTGCCATAGCGAGTAATTTCTCTTCTCCGTTTTCAGACATTTTTATGAATGCAAGTTTATCAATAATCACATGTAAGGAGGAAAAAAGAAGCTCCAAATGGGAACGAACTACGAAGTATTAGCTAGAATAGAAGGATTGGGGAAGCGGGAATGACGGATATGCCCTTTCTGGGACGCGGTTTAGGGAAATAAATTGAGGGTAGAGATGGTATACTGTTGGAAAATTACGTGGATTTTGATGAATGGAGAAGAAGATAAAGGTAAGAGTGAATGTGGAAAGCAGTTTCTTAGGTTGATGTCAGTAGTCGTTGCAGCCTTGCAGTTAACTTTGTTTTTTACCTCTTTTTGTTTCGATTGGTGTAAATATAGGAACTTGAATTTTCCAATGTTGACGTTAGGTTTTGAATGGTCTTAGGAGGTATTCCCTCTTTCACGTCTCATTAAAAATAGCGATATTTATGTTATTCATTTTTTTTTAAATACGTAATGTATTGGTTTTAATTAGAGTAGGCAATAAACCAAATTCATATTCGATATTATTAATTTGTTATACTTAATTCATGTATATATAACACTTACATTTTATCAATGAAAATTTGTCAAGATTGATAAAATTCGTCAAAATCTTGTCTGACTGATTCAATAAAGTCTCGTCAAAATGACTCACTAAAGTATTGTTTAGAAATTAAGTCTCAAGAACAAAAAGTATGTATAAAACCTAGATAAATTTCATGCGAAAGCTTGAAAATGAGTAAGGAAACTGAAACACTTCAACCTCTTCGAGTCATCATGCTTGAAGGGATTGTGTAGTTATATAATTGTAAGAGACATCGTCTATCGTTCCTTTCAGATCGACCATTTGCTGGTTTGAGCGCCCCTCTTTTGGATAAGATGTCGTTTCTTCGAATATGTCGCCTAAATCCTTCGTGCCTCCGTCCATAGTGCGTGATCGTGTGGAAAACTTATATTTGATCAACAACGGTATAGAAGGAGTCTAAAGAGTTATCTGTGCCCCGTGAATTTAAGGAAATCAACTATCCACATCTGAAGTGATTGTTATATCCTAGAAAGTCTTGGATTTAGGCATATGGTGGCTATGAATACCTCAATAGAGACGAATATAAACTAACTCTAATAGAGAAATACACATATATAAAGTTTCTCACCCCACGTGAGATTGCTCTCAACCTCATAACTAACCTTAAAGCCTTTGACAACCCTTAATCATAAGGGATTGTCACGCATTTGTACTTTTAGCTAGTACAATTGGTGTTCATCGTGGGTCCCCGGTAAAACTGACATAGGTCACACTCATCATTATCCGCGGTTGCTTTCACCATCTTCTCACTGGGATGTTTGAGCAAAGCTTCAAGAAGGACGTCAATACTGTCGCTAAAAGTTTTATCGAGGGGAGAATCTAACTCCTCCCTGTCACAACACGAAAAACAACCGGCAGAAAACAGAGTCGGCACCGAACATTATTTATCGCGACGGGGAAAGGAAACGATCGAAGAAGCTGCAAAAAGGGAAAGAACGTGGTCTCACAACCAAATTCTGAGTTCATGAGTCGATTACGCAAGAGGAATGTGTTAGCACCCCTCGCGTCTGTTGTACTCAATGAGATCCACTCTTGTTCTTATAAGCAAAGGCTGTGTATATCTAAAGACTTACTTGCTAAAGGAACGCGGAAACAAAAGGGGAGAAAAAACAAAAGGAGACTCGATAGGACCTCTTTGTCCTATGCCTAAGTATTCCCTCGTGTAATGGGAAAGTCAGAGTCAACGTAGTTTGAAGGACTACGAGTGGAAGGGGGATGATGGTGCCCGCCAAGACTTCGCCGTCTTGTGCCTACATATCTTCATTCGGACGCGAATGAAGAAATCAGAGTGTTCGTAGTTCGTGGGACTACGGTTTACTTAGTGTCTTTTATGAGTGATACTAAGTTCACATTCTAGCAGTTAGGGGCGAGGTCTGTTTGCGGTAGAACTGAAGTAGCATGCCCTTTCTGAAAAGGTTTGAAAGAAAATTCCGAAGGACAAAATTGTTTGAGTTTGTTCAAGTGTTTTAAAGAAGTGAATTGAATTTGTTTGAGATGTGTATTATACTAAAGTCTATGACATAGGAGCGAATGCTTCGCAAGATCTCCCCCAGACGGAACGTATGCAAAGCACTCTAGAAGAAGTAAGGAGAGACTTTCACTCATCATTTTCCATGTACTTAAGGCTCATGACGTACTATACTCATCGCAATTATTATGCACTTTGAATTTTATTTAAGGGAGAGAAGAGAGAGTTATCATGCAAAGTGGAACTCAGTGTTACATGTTATCATGCAAAGTGGTCCTAAGGTTGGGATGTGAAAGGAATTTCTATCCTAATGTTAGCATGCAAGGATGGACCTAAGATCGAGGTTAGGGAAACTATTCTAATGTTATCATACATGGATTAGCACCTAATGTCTATCCTACTCCAATCTTAATAAAAAATTAAGTTGGACTAGGAGGCCCTAAGGGAACATGCAAAGGCAAGCAAAAACCAAGAAAATAAACCAAAAAACAGCAGCAACAATTGCGCTTCAGCTCAGTATAGCGATAAAATCCAGCAATAGCATAACACAATATTTAACAGCATACATTTTCCAGAACAGAACAGGTGTAAATGCAGCAAGATAGAATGAGTGCATTTAACCACATGTAATCAACACCTCAGCAAATGTATACCGCAGCATGCAATGCATCAAATAAGCATCAAGCATAGAGGAACATGTAACATCGCAACATCAAGTTAGGCATGCATCAAAGATTAAACAATCAACAATGACCATGCCCAACAACCAAGCATATACATGCGTCAAAAGAATTCAACAAAAGCATGCCTCCACATTTAAACAAATGCACATGAATTGTAAGAATCAAGCATGAACATGTATCGAATAATATTAATCAATGTACATGATCATATATAAAGAATCAAACGTGAGCAACAATTATGAAATGCACATATCAAGAACAACATGAATGTTTATCAACAATTAATCGTATCAAATGAACATGCATTTACAGAATTAAAAGTAAACATGAACATGAATCATGCATCAAGCAAAAGTGAACATCCAAGGAAAACAAATATGAACATGCAAGTGAACAAGCAACATGAAGAATGCATCTAGAATGCAAAACAATTAGCCATGAACATGCATCATGAAAATTAATGTGTCACGTGTCAAAGAATCACATATTTGCTACAAAATAGGGTGAAATAACACAAGAAAATTCCACAAATATGTATCATACAAAGCCATGAGGTTTAGAAGTGGAAAGGAATCCAAGCAAGCATGAAAAAACACAAAAATCAGCTTCAGCAACAATGTTAATCGATTAACCACTTTTGCATGCATTTTGGTTAATCGATTAACACTTAAAAACAACACAAAATACACACAGCAACAGTGTTAATCGATTAACCACATTTGCCTGTATTTTGGTTAATCTATTAAAATTGTACAAACAGCACAAAAAGTTCAGCATAAAAATCACTTTTTAGCAACTTAATCACTTAATCTCCACAAGTTAGAGCATGCAATTGATCATAAAAATTATATCAAATAACAACAATTACATAACAATTGAATCCATCAAACATCAAGATCAACAATTAAAGCAATCAATGGATCAAATCACACCAAAACCATAAGGATCCACATTGTGAAAGTTGTAAAATAAGCTAAAATGAGTTTGAATCTAAGAATCACCAACCTATAAAGCGGAGATTTGCTTTGGTAATTGTTGCAAACATAATTTGATGAATTAAGAAAATAAAGTCAAATATCCAATGAAATCCTAGCAAGAAACTTGAAGAACAATACAATAAGATGAACTTGCTTCAAAATTGCTTTAAGAAAGTGCTTCCAAATTTTAGATCTAGATCCAAATAAGCTCCAACTTCAGAATTGAACAATGGAAGATGATGTAATGGAGGTTTAGCTAAAGAATTCACAAATTGAAATATACAATTTATAAAGCATTTTGGTTATGGAGCTTTGGTGAGGGTTTTGGAACGAGAGAAAAATGAGAGAGAATTGTAGAGAATTGAGAAGGAAATGAAATTATGAATGAAGTTGTGTGAGGTTTGGAGCAAATTCATTTAAATAGGCTCTAGGTTTGGAGTGTAAATGAGGTTTGGAGTGTGCTTTGGAATTAGCTCTTGAATTGGGTTTGGAATTAGGAGTGGGAATCATTTGAATTTTGGAGGGAAGATGAAATTAATTTGAAAGCATTCTAGATCCTTCTACTGATGTAGATGTGAACCCAAGTGATTAAAATGAACTTGCAATTGCTACAGTGCTAAAAACTGAACTTTCTGGGCAAAAATCTCTTGTGTTAATTGATTATCACATTCAAATTTTGGCGCCAAAAGGAGAGAAACTTGGAAAATCAATTGTTGCCACTTGTTCTGAGCATGGCTCTGCCTCTAAAGCCTGTTATTTGATATTGCACCTGAATAATACCTGAAATAAGCTATGGATCCCCTTTTGTACTCAATATACTCTGCTAGAAAAAGAATATGGTCTGGTATCAAATCATTGAGCAAAATAAATGTTGGAGCCTCTAATGCTTGCTGCTTAAAAACTTGAAATAAAAAGAAGTCTTGAGCCATAAAAACAAAGTGATCCCATGTCTCAAGAACTCAATGAAATGCATGATTGATTGTTATGTCCTAACAGAAATGCAGACGAATGCAAAATAAAAGCTAGTTAGGGTTAGAAACGAGATGGCAAATTTTGGGGTGCAACATCCCCGAAGGAAGCATGTTTGTTAGGTGTTATCGATAAACATTGTGCCTATCAAGGCTGCAAAACTCCAGGGAGAGATCGAGAGCATAGAATCTCCTTTTCAAGGAAAGAAACAATTGGTGCCTCCCCCATAACAATGACCCCATGATCATCACAATCCAGTATGCCAATTAGGATGTGAAGTGATTGTTGATTAACCTTTACAGCTCGACAGATGTATTATTCTAGAAAATCTTTCAAGGGCTCCAG